GTATTACCATGGTGTAAACGGGGGGGGGGGGGGGGATACACAATACTGAGCCCCTTCATCCTAGATATAACGGCTACATTTGCAGCCGACGCAAATAGCGGTACCCCGCTTTCGGAAGCATACTAAACAGCTGTCACAACAGGTCTAAGCAAGGCGTACCTCGCTGCCAGCGTCATCGACAGTGATGCGAGGACATGGACATCCAGCGGAAGGAGGTAGCCTTGCCCCCGTTTTCGAAAGCGTACTAAACCGCCGTCAGAGCCGGTCTATGCAACGCGTACCTCGCTGCCAGCGCTCGGGCAGCACTGCTGCATGATTGGCGATTAGCCGGCTTGCCACACTCCATCACTCTCGTCGCCGTTGCTACTGCATAACGCAGAAATCGTACAATTGTAGGTGCACAGAACTTACCACAACTTTGTGATGTGGCCAACGTGCCGAGCCTTCGGCGACTCTACGTGCCACCTGAGCTCTTTTTCGGGAGAAAAGCTTCCAGCGACTGGCGCTTCAATTACCCGTTGGATGTCCTCCAGAGGTCCAGGGCTCTCTGTTGCGAGTGAACCCAACTCTGCTACAGGACGAAAGATGCGCTCGGAACGCTCGGTCCACTTCTGCTGCCTTCTCTGGGGACAAGGAAGCACGTTCCGGAGGACGGCCTTCCGCCACGAGGAAGCATGTTCCGGAGAACGGTCTTCCGCCACCACCACCCCTTTCTGATTTGGGGAGCCAAGCGGCACGGGGTTGTCCTACTCATTTTTTTCGTCGCCTTGGCCTTTCTCCTGCTGCTGTGGTAGCAAGACGGGAGGGGTGGACGGGGAAGGTAAGGGAGCGTCATCGTCCTTCTTGTCGCCCTCGTCTATCTCCTGCTGCTGTGATACAATAGCAAGACGGGAGGGGGAGAGGTTGGAGGTACGGGAGCGTCGTCGTCCTCTTTCGTCACTCCGGATTTGTCTGCGGTTTCGTCTTCCGTTTGCTCCTCGTTGGCGCCCTCCACGAATCAAACCTCTCGCCCATCGCCAGTCCTCCTGAACGTTAACAGTGGCTCACGCGAAAAATGTCAGCCGCGTTCCTTCCGGTCGTAGGATTGGCGCACGAGTCGCGCGTCGGCATTGTCAAATCTGTCCGTGCTGAAAGAGAAATCACTACAGTGGGGACCCCGGTTTAGCGACCCGATATTTAGCGACATGACGTGGGTTGCGACCCAAAAATCTCGAGACACCGCTGCACCCCGGTTTAGCGACCGCATGGTCGACCCCACAATAGCAACTCGTTCAACTGTTTTCAGCGAGCAATAGCTACCAGCGGTTCAAATTTGAGGGCTGTTCTCGTTAACGGTTTTTCATGTCGGCATCATTTCCCGCGTTAATCAGAAACCACGGTATAATACGGTATTTTTCAGGTGGTAACTGGCCACCACGGCAAATTTCGTACGGTAACTGGTCACCGCGGTAATTTTCTTGTACGGTAACCAGCCACCACGGTAATGCACGGAAATGTGCATTTTTTACGGTATAACTGGTGACAACGGTATAAAAGTTGTACAGTTAACCACATCATGGCACGTCGGGCCCCGTTCGTTTGCTTGCTACGAAGTGTTCCCTAAGCGTTTGGTCACCGCACAACAAACGTGCGCGACACGTTCACCGAGCATCATGTCCGTCAACCAAACGGGTCGCATAATAAGAAGGGTGAAAACCAGACAGCATATATCGATGTCACTGCAGGCAGGCTCGCGTGGCCTTAAGACGACGACGCAAGTCCGGCGCTGAACAAAGTAGTTATGCCATCAGCTGAACAAAGTAGTTATGCCATCAGCAGGAAGGGCAGGCAACAAGCAAGCACCGCCTTCCTCATACACAGAAAACGACGGAACTCAACGGTCCAACAAACAAAACAAGAAAACAACCGCTGCGCAACGGGCCCCCACAAAACATCAAACCATTAACACCTTCGTCAAATTTGTCATTTTACTGCGGTGGACAGCAGTAATGCACCTGGTGTTTCTGTGCGGTATATGGGGTCTTACTGTTCGTACGGTAATGTACTCCACGGTAACTCCAAAGCACGGGAACTGCGATTTTTGTGCGTTAATGGGAAGACTCAATTTGTTCGTTAACGGTTTGGGCGTTAATGGAGATTCTCATTTGTCACGGGATCACGGGAAACCGTGATTACCGTGTTTTTTCCACTGTAAAATTACCGCGGAGAAATTAACGAGGATATCCCTGAAATTATGCAGAGACCCCGCGTTCCTGCACACACAATAAACATGCGTGATACGTAAACACACGCAACATGCCCTGCGCCCATCGAGAGTCGTGCAAATAGCCGTATGTGGAACTGCGGGCACCCCAGGGGATACAAATACGGTGGATGCCTGCACCGCATGTGTTGGGAGGGGAGGTGGAGGTTCTCAATGGCATCGATATGCACCGCACCTGCCACGCGTGTGCATCCAAGAACATGCAGGCTTCCCCACCCGTCTCGAATCCACCCAAACGCAAAGAGAGATGGAGGTAGATGGGGCGGGAGGAGTTGGCAGTGCGGGTTGTGGGGAAGTGAATGGCGCCGCTGCCCTACACGACGCTTTCGTCGCATTTTGGATCGCTAAGAAGGTCTGCGGGGTCGTGTGGGTCAAGCGAGGCGGCGTACTATCTTCGGAAGGCAAAGATGTTGCTCATCGAAGAATAGGGCGCGAAACCAGCGCGACAGACGGACACCAGAGATATGTTTAATTAAGCATGATCGATACATGCGACAGTAGCAGAATTAAGTCACTAGATAGCATCACGAGGTTCTTTGCCGCGCGTTCACGCACTTTCTCCTGGCCATGTGGGGCGTTTTGTTTTTTTGGGGGGGGACGTCGCCATGATTTTTTTCCCTTTCCCGCCTTTGTTTTTTTATAGTTCGCAGATCGGACTTCTGCGTGGTTAATATAGGAGTACTCTGGAGTATGTGTTGGTCTACATTGTAAGAACAAATTGTTCAACACGCGGGAAAATAAAAATACTCAAGGCACCACCCTCTGACCACTTGTTGAGGCATTTCCTAAAAACTTCGGATGGTCAAACAAGCTTGCTGGTTGATTGGAATGCATTCCGTATATGTAAGAACTTTTCCCCGGTTGTCTACCCTAAGGTGCGTGCTGTTTCCTCTACCTTCGTACAGTTTGACTGCGGCAATACGACGCATACATGACCCGGTCAAGGAAATTCTGCAACACGGCCTTTAGTCCGACGAAATGGCCCTTTTTTCCCGGTTTGGCGACCGCTGGTATTGTCGCTATCGAGGCTCCAGGTTTAGCGACCAGTGGTCCCTAAACCGGGTTTTGGCGTCATACCCTTTGTAGCCACCACATTTAGTCGTGGCACCAAAATAGGCGTCGCTAAATCGGCCCCCCCGCCGTACTAGCTAATGTCATTCTCGTGTGACCTTGGTCATGCTTCGCACGATTCAGCACCTTCTCTGTCGGGAGCATTTCCCCGTCCTTCAACGGAAACGCGGGGCATGGGTGGCAAACATTTCTCCTATCCCACATACCTCGTGGCGCGAAAAAACATATCGTGCCAACAGGTGCGAGAAACGTGTTCATGGTCGGGGCCATTATAAAAATACAAACGAACGAGAAGGGTTAATACGTTAATACGAAACGAACCGAATACCGCTGTTTAGTTTTCAGGAGCATTGTGAGAGCCAGTTTGAGAATTAGTCCATGATGATTTAGCGTGGAACACAACGGGGTATTGGTGACGCAATATGGAAGGAAGGATCTTCGACAAGGGTGCAGAATAAGCATGACAAAGAATGGCGAAGGTCCGTGACCATCTAATACTGTAAAGCATTCAGTACCAGTGATGGCGAGGCGGGCGTGACGGTTTCCGACATGTATTTTTTCAAGTGTCTCGTCCAAATTTCGTACCGATGAAGTTAGGGTTAGCGTCCGCGTGCCCCCTCCCTGGTCATATTGTCGTAGTAGCCTTACTTTCTCTGCGTAGGCAGTCCGTTTCTCGCACTCCTACTGCTGCATTGGGGACACAAGGCTATATCCTCGACCAATGAGGGAGTGAGAGCGAGAATCTTCTCCCGGAACGTTTTCGCCTTGCGGCCATCTCATAAAAAATTATGCTGTGACGTTATCCTATGGGAAAAAATTCCGTGCAGTCATGTCACGGAACGTTTCTCCGTTTCTACCCTGACGTCATCTTATGAAACATGTTTGCTGTGACGTCATCTCACGGAAAATTATTGCTGTGACGTCACGTCATGGGAACACTGTTTCCTGCATCTGGCGAAAAAAACTATTATTTGAGACAACAGGTTGGTCTCGTGGCCATCTACGCTTCCACCCTGCCCACTCGCCGGCGGCGCGAACTGTACGCCGGGTTTCTACGGTCCCTGGAAGGCGACGGTAGCCGCCGCGAGGCCCTGGAGCAGGCCAAGAGCCACATGCCCGGAGACGTGCCGGCCATCCTCAAGAAGGTAGCATGGGGTGTTTGTTGTTCTCGTTTAATTGGTCGACGTTGACAGTCCAGTTTTTTTGCTCGGGAGGTGGCTGCTGCGTCAGCACGACGCCCTCAAAAGAAGGTTCGTCAAAAAGAGGCGTGTACGGTAACTGCTTTTCCGGGGTGATGACAAGAGTCATGCCGGCAACTGTTCACATATTGCATCGAATCATGTCTCCGAAAACTCGCATTTCTTCTCTTTTTTGTTCGTCTCGACATCCAGGTGGTGGAAGACGTGCGGCTGCATACGGTGTCGGTGGCTTCAAGTGCCATGCCGAAGCAAGTACCGGAGGGAGATCTGAAAAAGATCAAGGCCATGTCGTGGCTGCTTGATCACCCGAGTACGCAAGCCGATGCGGTCGTCCAGGTGCGAAGAAATTGCATTTGCAGCGATTCGGCAGCTTGACAATACTATATCCGCGCAATTTTAATAATTAAATGAGTATATTTAGCACAAAGCAAACTACGACTTTGCTCGAGTAAGCAAACAGCCAGGTGGTGGACCAATCAAACAGCGCGTGTGGTGAACCAAGCAAAACACGCGTTCGGTGGACCATACATGCTGTACACGTACAGCTGTGACCCAGCATACAGCAGACTGCTGACATGTAGCGTACAGTGGTGTCCATGGCTACTCAAAGAAAGCAGCAGAGGAGACTACTGCTGTAGACTGTAGACAACGACGCTTGTACTCTACTGCTGTGTGTACACTTCCACCTCATCAAACACACGTACAACGACACATCATAGCCACACACATTCCCAGCTACTAGTGCTACTGGTGCACACGTTTATACTCACTCACAGAGCTGTATGTGTCTTTCGCTGTGCGTAGATCTGTACATGTAGGTGTACAGCAATAGCATGCGGTCAACACCGCATTCATGTACGGGACGGAACCCCCGCATACCCCGCGCTACAACTTGTTCAAGCGCGCGGGGGGGGGGGGGGGGGG